ATTTTTGTGTTTGCTCCTAGATGGATGATTGCTTTGAGTTAATTGAAAGTGATGAGTTTTCAGTAGAGGATGGCATGAATGAAACTTGAATAGGAGGCAATAAAAGAAAAAAGAAGTTTGAAGAAATATTATATTTTCACAGGGGATTATTAGGTTAAAAACCTGGATTTATGTTCTGACCTAGGCTTCCTTAGAAAGTAAACAGCACAAACTTAGTCCCGGCAAACCTCTTTAATTCATACAGCTGTAAATTACTTTTATTTAGTCCATAAGGCTTGATAAACAGTCTTTCAGAGGAAGGTTATCAACACCCACCTATCTCATGTGGAACGCTGCCAAAGGGCTAATTTCCAGACGCAGGGCAAGACCAAACTTGGCACAGAGTCACAAACAGATGTTTCAAATCTTGAATCGGCCAGATGAACTAATTGCTTCCTGCAAAAGCTCACGTCCTGTTCGCTTCTCTTTTATGTCTTATGGGCCAATCATCTCCAAGCCTTACTCCCAAATCGACCCTGTTTCCTTAATTGTTCCTGTCTCCTAGCAGCTCAGCGCATGCGCACACTGGGAACAGGCTCACGCTGTTCTTCTGCCTCACTAATGTCAGACTCCGGAGACTCCGGAGGCAGCAAAGAACTACCAGCTGGCCTTGGCTCCCTCTTTGCCTCCAACTCAGAGCCATTGTCCGAGCCTTCCCCAGACTCTAGGACTGGTCCACATTCCTCCCCAACCTCCTCACTGTCTGAATCTGCTGCCAGCTCTGCTGGCCGCTGGCGAGCCACAACAATTTATTCTTTCCTGTTTTCATTTTTAGAGTTTCCTGAATTATCCTCAATTCACATTTTGAAATATTTGCCAAGATTTGAGCAGACATCAGGGTTTGATTGTTGCACAATCTTAGTTTTCCTTTAGATATAGGAAAATAGATAATCCACTCACTATTTTCTTTTTGAATATGCATCAAATATGCATCATGTAGCAAATAAAAGGGTAATAAACTATAATGGAATTTATGTCGTTGCCTACTGTACATTGCCCTCTCCAACCTTCCTAGATACATTAGACAACAATAGCTTTGCTTATTGATGATATTAGGAAACTATAACAACTCATCGGGACATCTGGATCTATGATTAGACTTCTGTTGCCTCTGATTTAGCCTTGGCCCCAGATTTTGCAGCCAAATGTGGCAGTGGTAGTGGAATGATACCCAAAATGGGTAGGTTTTTCATTCATTCATTCATTCATTCATTCATTCATTCATTCATTCATTCATCTTATGCCTGGAGACAACCATAAATGGATTACAATCACTAAAATCCAAAACAATAAACAAACATGAAATGAGTTTAAAATTGAGAAAGATGGAGACGAAGAGACCATGATGCACACCTTCACATATACGGTCACACATAACTCTAAGCTATAAATCCTAGTTAACTAACCACAATGATTGAATTCTCACATCAAATGAAGCTGTAGTCAAACAAATAATATTACAACTTAATCTAACTGCTAAATGGTTCCATCAGTCAATTCAGCGGTCTCACTTGAAGCACAAATTACCAAGATCAAATCATCCTATTTAGAACACAATGTGAGAAGCTCTAACTCTCTGGAGAAAGTTCTAACACTGGGAAAAGTAGAAAGAAAAAGAAAAAGAGGCCGATCAATGGCAAAGAGGATGGAGTTATTTCCAGCGGCTACCTACAAGATCAGATTAGAAACAGATCATCATGGAGAAAATCTATGTGGTTGCTAAGAATCAACAACAGTTATATGGCACATAATCAATCAATCATTCATTCATTCATTCAATCAATCAATCAATGTTCCATTACAGCCTACTTTTTTGAGGCTGTTTTTAAGGCCAGTAGAGCTTATGGGCTGTTAAAGATACAAGTATCTGAGGACTGAGCCATCTCTCTCTCAACACTTTACATGAAAGTAGGACAAGCTTATAGTCTCATATTCAGTCTGTCTCCAAGATATACATCTCCATTTGCACTGCTGAAGGTTTTTATCAGGGATTAGACAGCCATTTGTTAAGATTATCAAGCTTTAGATTTCCTGCATTAAATAGGAGGTATGATCTGAATCTGTATTTCAGTTGTGTTAGCTGCTGCTGTATTCCTTTGCTATACAAGCTTTCTATCCGTGCTTTAAAAAGCCAACAAAATGAATGCTCTTTGATGGGGGAAAAAAAAATCTGCTGCAAAAATATAAATGTTCTACAATGTGTTATCAGGTTCAAAATATCCCTCAGCATCTGTGATGTGTGAAATGGCAAAGGTGTGAACAATGCATAGAACTTTTTGGTGTTCACGTGGACTCATTAAGCTATATGTGTGCACTAGTGACACAATGCAGTCACAAAGTAGCCAGAAATGTAATTCCAAAAGCACCCCAAAGAACTTTTCATTTAAAAATAAAAATAAAAATCAAGGACTGTCCCTGCTAAAATTGTAGCGTAAACTGCAAAGGTTCAGATTGCAATGTTGTCAGGAGAACAACGTTACATGGTGTCAAATGACAAAACAATCTAGGTTTGGATTTTAGTTAAACTCATAATGGTGGAGGAAGTGTTGTTTTAATGGGCCTTTTATCTGAAACATGGGTCAAGATATTCTTTCTGTACGTGGGTTCATGGGGATGGAATATATGTAGGTTGGAACTTGGGGAAGCATCATTTTAATTTTTGCAGTTGTATGGAAGGAAAAAAACTAGATATTTTGATGGAAACAAACTAGAGACAGGGGTGGGATTCAGCCAGTTCAGACCAGTTCAGGCAAACCGGTACCGTATTTTTCGGAGTATAAAATGCACCTTTTTTTCCCCCAAAAAGAGGGTGAAAATCTGGGTGCGTCTTATACTCCGAATGTAGCCCCGCCCACCTTCTCAAACGGAGGTTTCAGAGGCTGAAAAAAGCATCAGAAACGAAGCTTTAGAAAAAAAGCCCCCAAACAGAACTTTAGAGGCTTTTATTCTGAAGCTCTGTTTCGGAGGCTTTCAGAGGCAGGAAAAAAAGTTTTTTCTGAAGCAGAGTTTCAGAACTTTCAGAGACAGAAAAAATAGCAGAAAAAAAAGCAAGGCACAGAGCTTGCTAAAATTCACCTCTGGGAAGAGCTGATTCCTACTCCTATTCCAGGAGGCTGATCCACCTGCCAATCAGCTTTTTTCTTATTTTCCTCCCCAACAACTAAGGTGCGTCTTATACTCCGAAAAATACTGTAGTTGTGACCCACCCATCCACCCAGGCATTATGCCGTCCTATTTAGTTGCATTTTTAAGCTGCGCGCATGTGTGCAAGCGCATGCACAAGCAAAGCACATGCGCAGAAGGCCGCATGCATGTGGGGAAGGAGTGCGCGCAGATTTTCAGTGCTGGGGAAAACTGGTTGTTAAATTATGTGAAGCCAACCCTGACTAGAGCTGAATGTAGTTTTTTTTAAAATGGAATTAATATGCACATGCTTTGCCATTAAGTTCAGTATTGATCCACTAGGGCCTGTTCATTCCTACAGTTGTATTTCAGATGAAGTTATCCTCTGAGGAGTTCATAAAATAATAAAAAGAAGGAGAGAAAGAAGAATCCCTTCCCCATCTGTGAATACAGGTAGTCCTTGACAGTTAACAACTGTTAACTCAACAATTGCTGAACAATGGGACTTATGACCCCTGCCAGAAATTCTGACCTTTGCAATATTTCTGCAGTCATATGATCAAAATTTGGGTGCTTGGCTAAGCACCTACCCTAATAATTATAGAAGCAGTTGCAACTCTTCCCCCTCCCTAACATGGCCTTGTCCCTCTGCTGCCTCCTCACCCTTTCCAAGTGGTCTGAGCCTTCTCCCTGCCCCACTGCATCTAGGTCCATTTACTCTTCTCCTTCCCTACATTTGCTGACAGCACACCGGCCCCATGCGAAGCACAATTAGAAAGTTATCATGTACAATCTTTCTCAAAGCTAGCCAGGAACTGGAACTCTGCTGGTTGACTTCCTTGTTCCTGAATAGCCTTGAAAAAGATTGCTTCTCTAGACTTGAGGAAAATTTTCTTCACTAGCTTCCTGGCCAGGAAACTAGCAAAGGCAATCTTCTTCAAGGCTGACATCTCACTTAAGAAACGAAACTTACAACCAAAATTCTGGATTCAGTTGTAGTTATTAAGTTGAAGATTACCTGTAGCATAAACAGGATTGCTGAATAGTGTGTCTATGGCTTCATTCGTCTTGTACTGTAAATGTGACTGGTTAATTTTGATAGGTTAATTTTGGACTGCAAGTCCTATCATCTGTCATCACACAGCCCATGCTTATTAGAGTTAATAGGAGTTCATCTGGATGACCATCCATAGTCTCCTCCTGGATGATTGTGCAGTATATAGTAGATGCCTCCATATTGCCCCCAACAATCTGGCTCCTCATTTTACTGACTTCAGAAGGATGGAAGGCTGAGTCAATCTTTTGCTGGTCAGAATTGAATTTCTGACTGTGGGTAGAATTTGCCTGCAATGTTGCATTCAAACCATTGTGCCACCATGGCTTGGTGGTGAAAAGAAATGCTTCTGTTAGAAAAAGGGGGTTGACTGGTAGCAATAGCAATATCACTTATTTAGTGCTTTACAGTTTAGAGAGCCAGCATATTGCCCCCAACAATCTGGGTCCTTATTTTACCGACCTCGGAAGGATGGAAAGCTGAGTCAACCTTGTGCCTGGTGAGATTCGAACTGCCAAATTGCAGGCAGACAGCAGGCAGCAGAAGTAGCCTGCAGTACTGTACTCTAACGATTGTACCACCATGGCTCAAGTGGTAAAAGTGTTTTAGGCAAAAGAAGGAAAAGAACAAAACTTCTGGTTTGTATGACTCTGCCTTTCTGGGCAGCAAGAATAGTTACCTATTATATCTCTCCTCCACCCTATACTGAGAAACAATTAAACTTCTCATTCAGAGAATACTGTCCATAGAGTCTTCTTTTTTGCTGGCAAGTGTTGGGGCTTACCTTCAGCTGTGGCCAGCTACACACCTGCTCCGCTGTGAGTTTTTCTTTCCGGTAATCTTTTCCTTGGGGGCATGAACTACAAAAAGTTTCATGGATCCTGCAAATGGAAGAAAACAATTGGTAGGCTGATACAGTCCTTAGCTGTCAAGGCTGCCATAAACCCTATTTTACATGCTGATTTTAAATTCTCAACTCCTTTCACAAGGCTTTATAAAGCCCACCTCCCCGCCTCCTGCTACTTATAAAAACATCAAACTAAAACAGCAATTACATGAATATTTAACATATTACAATTTACCACATTACCTAACAATTTGAAGCCATCAAAACTCAATAAAACAACAGGACTAAATCAGAGTTATCCATCCAGACATTCATTCATGCCCATTATGTAATTCTTTTGACAGTAAGCAGTTACACAGAGGATGAAAAAAAAAAGAAGAAACTGTGACCAGAAGAAATTGAAGGTATAACTTAAGAAAATACTTTTTAAAATCCTAGCTTTGCCTGCTAGTTGTCTTTGTGTGTACTTGCCATGTAATGCTTTGCCTTGTTGTGTTTCTTTTCTGTCTTCATCGGTTCTTTCTCAGTCTACCGTGTTTCCCTGAAAATAAGCCCTCCCCCCAAAATAAGCCCTCCCTCGAAAATAAGCCCTCCCTGAAAATATTTAAATGCATGAGTAGCCAGTCCCCACCATTTCCTCTGGTTAGGGTTAGGGAGACAGAGCTGGAAATCAGGTAAAATGGCAAGAGGATCCCCGTTTTACTCCACGCACCCCAAAATAATAAGACCTCCCCGAAAATAAGGCCAAGCATTTATTTCGGGGTTCAAAAAAATATAAGACAGGGTCTTATTTTCGGGAAAACATGGTAGTTTGGTCTCACTGGTATTCAATAAGCCTTCCTGGTGTACTATCTTCAGTGTATCTTCTTCACTGTTCTTCAGATATTCTTCCAATGTCCCTTTTTCTTCTTTAACTGGTTGGGGTACTTGCAACTTTCCACACCTATTATGCTCCTTGGTAAGTAGAAACTGAAATAGAAATTGTCAGCATCGCTGGCTGGATTAAGGGTATGATTCATTGCCATTAATTTTCTGGTCAAACTATCCAGGGTTTCCAGTCCACTACTATATTATTAACTTCTGATAAGACCTGTCCAGTATGATTGCACCTTGACATAGCTCTCATCCTTAAGCACACAAGCCCTCAACCACATCAAGATAGTGCTTCACTGGAGATCTTTATTTTAACTATTGTATAGACATCCAAATATTTAGACTAGATTTGGCATTTTTATCCAATTACACAGTCTTTTCTAAAGACCTGGGATAGGCAGGTTTGACGGTGTTAAAGGAATCATTGCAGGATATAGGCTGTTTCACGTAAAGCTGCCTTTTGCAATTGTGATGATTTTATCTATGCTATTAGTGTTAATAAAGGGAAGCCCCAGATGCTTTGGGGATTGCACCAAAGATGCCTATCACTATTGGTATTATTCAGTGGTGAAATGTAAAATTTATTACTACCGGTTCTGTGGGCGTGGCTTGGTGGTGGTGGGGGTAATGTGACTGGGTGGGCGTGGCCAACTTTTTTTTTTAAAAGCATTTTTTCTACAACCTTAAGAGGTTGCAGAAAAAAATGCTTTTAAAAGCCTCTGACGATCAGGCAACTCAGCTGGGATCGTCAGAGGCTTTTAAAGAATTTTTTTTTCTACAACCTCTTTGGCCGAAAAAATGCTTTTAAAAGCCTCTGACAATCCCAGCTGAGTGGCACGATCATCAGAGGCTTTCTTTTTTAACTTTTAAAAGCATTTTTCGGCTGAAGAAGTTGTAGAAAAAATGCTTTTAAAAGTTAAAAAAAAAGCCTCTGATGATTGTAGGGCTCAGCTGGGCATGGGGGTGGGGCAGGAATTTTTGCTACCGGTTCTCCGAACCACCCGCCACCATTGCTACCGGATCGGGCAATCCGGTCCGAACCGGGAACATTTCATCCCTGGTATTATTTTTGTTTTCTATTTGCAGATCTTTGCATTTTGTGATTCCCCACCCCAGTTCTTTTTCTTCCATTCTGTTGTCTCCACATACTGCCATGTCCACTATTCAGACATTTTTGTCTCTCTTATTGACAATTGTTAAGTCTGTGGTGTTATGTGGCAAAGGCTTGTCCCAGAGCACTTCATTTTTTATTGCTCTGTATATTTTGTATTCCCACCAATCCTTCTTTATAGGCAAGTGGTATTTCTTGTAGCTATTCCAATGCACTATTGTTACTACTTTGTCATACCGTTGTTTGTAATCAGTCTGTGCGATCTTCTTACAGCAGCTAACTAGGTAGACCACTGTTTCTTCAGCTTCTTTGTGGAGATGACATTTACTGTCTGTTGTTGTCTTCTAAATTCTAGCTTTGTGTGCATTTGTTCTTAAGGTTTGGTCTTGTGCAACCACAGTTGACCCCTCTGTCTCTTTCTTCAACTTTCCTGCTCTTAACCATTGCCAGATCTTGTTATCTGCTTGCCTGCTATTGATGTGTTTGTGTTTGTGTCTACTGGCCATATAATACTTTGCCTTGTGATGCTTGACCAAAGTTCTTATTGGATTCATGTGGCCATTTTTATATATGTGTATGTGTGTTTAATACTCCTTTTGAAAGAGCTCTGCTCCTGTTTTTTTTTTTAAAAAAATTAACATTTTTTGGAAGGCTTTTTCCCTTTCTGTTACCCCGCCCCATAACACTAATTCTGGATGGCATAGATTGTTGATATATTATATATATGTAAGTCTTGGCGTATTCAGATCTTTTCCCATGTAAGATTGAGAGTATCTTGGCAACATTTTTTTCGCTTAGCACATTGTAAGCCGCCCTGAGTCTCCGGAGAAGGGCGGCATATAAATCAAATTAAAAAAAAAAACATTTTGACGAGGTCCCACTCGTCATCTTCAGGCTGGTGTCTTCGGCTTCATGCTTGTGCGAGCAAAGTGTGATCGGAGATGCTGTCTCTCTATAAATACTGGTGGGGAGGTGGGGAGTGCTGGCTTTGTTGTAAGCGGGTTGGTTGGCTGTGTTGTTACATGTTGATTAGTAGATGGAGTTGATGTTTGCAGATTAGTCGGCTGTTTCGTAACATCCTGCGTGGCCGATATATACACACTTACAAGAGAAAATAAATTCTGCTAGCTGTGTGTTGCTTGTTCTGCTGCTAATGAACAACACTTTTTATGCTGCTTCTGCTAATAAGAGCATTGGCATACTGTTTTTATTAATAGTGTAGTGACTAAATTTTGAATACTGCTACACCATTTTGCGTAATCCATTGATTACCCCAGATCAAAAGAAGTGTGTGTTTCCTTCCTGGAGCACACATTCAAGATGCAATAGAAAAGCTCCAAAGATTATTTAAACCCTTTGACAAATATCTATACATCTGCGTCGAGATAAAAGGAAGTGGCAAATGACATACTGCGGGACTCCATTTTAGCACTTATAATGTTCAACTTATTTATCAGCCACTTGGATAAAGTGTTACAAAAACTGATTATTAATTTATCAAACCTCTTAAAGAACAATATCAAGATTCAGGATGATTTTGAACACTTAAAAGAATGGGCAAAGGCCAACAACAGGGATTTCAGAAGGACAAATACAAGTACCATATTTGGGTGGGACTAATTAAAAGCATGAGTATAAAATGAAGGAGACCAATGAGGGACAACAGCACATGTGAAAAGGATCTAGATGTCTTGGTGAAACATGAAGTTCAACCAATACCTAAAGCAGGACATCAAAAGTACCAGGTCCCCGGAACTCAAATAAGTTTCTCTCACAGTTTGCTCAAGCCTTTACTGATGCTAACTCATGAATATTTCAAAACAGAAAATTTTTCTCTTTTGCATTTTTAGAAAGGAAAATAGGAAGTAACTAACCAGAAAAGCTGGTTCTTGCACTTTATTAACTGAATAATTTCATTGTAACCATAAAATTCAACACACGCCATCAAATTAAGATATTTTGGGCCACTCATGTTCTCTCAGTTTTAGGAAGAAGATAATGGCTAATACTTTGTAAGTAGTAAGCAAGAAGCAAGCTTGGAAAACTTAATGGATTTGTATATATTGTCATCAAGAATCCAAATTAATTCAAAGGCAAATAAATATCATTTATGCTCCCAATAAAACAAGAAACTCTGCTTTTGTACTACTTAGAAACAGTGTCTTCTTATAGCACTTCATTTGCTGGAATTCCATCAAATGCTTTTTGGTTTTTGGTAGACTGTTACTTAGTTCTGAACTAAGAAAAATTTGCCAAGGTCCTAATTTACTGGAACAGTCTACTTGTTAGAAAGCTCTCTGCTGACACCATAACCCTAAAATATAACACAGATTAGTTCAAGCTGGGTGAATCCTCTGCCTGGGAACTAAACTTGTGTGCTAACTAGTATATGGCTTCAAATTGAGCTACCTGCTTTTATCAATAGGACCTTTAAGAGTATAAATAACGCTTGGATGGTTAATGGATTAGCTCTTCACAAGTAACTATGAAAGGCAATTATAGCTCCTAAAATTCAAGCAACTTACACCATGCAAGAATTATGATAAATGTATTTGCCTACCTCCTCACTCCCTCGGGATGTAGCCAAAATATCAATATTGTGTGTTTTCAGCATTTGAAGGTCAAAATTAATGACTAGTCTTGCAATGGTTTAAGGAATTGATTTCACACTTTGAAAGCCCTCCTCAAAACAAACAACAAAAGACCGAACATTTCACACACATGGTCCTCTAGTAACATCATGACTAATTGGTTGCAATTTTTACAACCCCCTGGCAAACCAGAAAAGCAAAGCATGATTCCAGCTCCTACTGTGTGAACAAGAGTTTCTTATTTCTCATTAAACAGGAGCCATATAACCCTACATATAACCCTGGGGCAAAACTGCTTTGACTTTAAAGATGTCCTTAGCATCTCTGACTTCCCCACTTTTTTAAACCCTAGAACAAAAACTTGGCATCCAATTTAGATTAGAATACTAATGTCAGCTTCTTGCGCCCACGTTGTTCTGATCTGGATTGGTCTTCTTTACTTCTAGCAAAACTCAGACTATGTGAAATAAAATTAAAGATCAACTTACCGAAGTATTTCTCCTTTGGTGAGAAATGTCAACACCTGCAGGAAACGACAAAGATGTCATACTACAAAATGAAACCATTCTTATTTTCATTTCCAGTGTGATAGGATAGGAATAGAGCAGGGGTCCCCAACCTTTTGGACCTCAGGGACCACTAAATTCATAATTTTAAATCTCACGGACCACTAATATGATCTGCCTAATGACCAGCTGGGTGGGCGTGGCTAGGTGGTCATGTGACTGGGTGGGTGTGGCCAACTCAATGGCCAACTCAATGTCACTCACATCGAGGGGCGCCTCACATCCCTCCCCTGCCAGTAACTCCTCGCCTCCCTGGCCGGGCGCCTTAGGGCTCCAACAGGAAGCAGTTGTTGGAGCTAAGCAGCCACCACGAGAAAGAATTAGCAAAATAGCTGGCTCAGTTCAAATTGGATCTGACCGAGAAGGAGGCTCAGCAGAAGCACCTCACTGAAGACTACAAGCATAGGCTTTCCAAGCAGAGGGAAGACCTGTGGGAGTGCAAGGCCAGGTACCGGCGCCTGGAGGCTCAGAGGGCTAAAATGGTCAATCAGTTCCAGGCCATGATGCAGTCCCACTGGAACAAGGCCCTCCGGCTCTTCGCCACCAGTGGCACTTCCCTTCAGCCTTTGCCCAAAGCTCCACACCAGGAGGCTGAAGCAGACTCCAAGTTGGAATTTCTGCCCCCCTCCAACCTGCACAAAAAGACCCCAATGGGGGAGGGTCTCTACAGCAACACAAATGTTCATTGCACAAATCCGGCCCAGGGGAATAGTTTGAGGACCCCTGATTTAGTGCAATATAAAAAAATGCAAATAATTTTTCTGCAGATCACCAAAATTTTCTCACGGACCACCAGTTGGTGACCACTGGGATAGAGGACTAGAGAGAACCTACCTGCTTCTTTTAAACACACACAGACACAAAAATAAACCTAAATGCAACCATACATTTGGCCTATCTGCCAGCATTGGCACAAATCACCTGGTTTTCAATATAGGAATACATAAGATCAATTTGAAAAGCCTCCCTTGGCCATTATTTGTGATATCCTAAGAAAGTTAAAATAATGTTTTCATAAAATGTGTGGAATTTATCAGAGAAGTAAGAGAATAGTCATGTGGCTTTAGCAGACTCTTACCTCAAAGTGTCAAGAGAAACAAAACAAACATCCTGCTATGAAGATGCGGGGCCAAATATGAGCTCTCTGTTCTGGATAGAGCCATCTCATCAGATTTAAGATGGATTAATAAAAAGCCTACCTATTGCAGCATCCTGTTTCATTATCTGGGAATATCTGGGAAGCCCAGGAGCATAGCATTATAGCAATATTCTTCTTATCCTGTTGCTCCTCAGTTATTCATGCTCAGAGTCATGTGTTCTCCTGAAAGGGAGGGATAGGATCCTGTTCAGCAGGCTGCATGAAAGATTTATGCATCCCTAACTGAAGGATGGGCAACTTGCAGACAATGGATTGCGTATGTTCCTTCATTCCCCAGACTTTCCAGAAACTGGGCTGCTGAATTTAAGGGGCAAACCAATAAAAACAAAGATATATTTTCCTTGTGATTGAAAATAAAGTATTAGATAAGCCTCAAAACATGATATTCTGGGACCTGTCTGTCTTGATGACCCTACTGAATCAATGGCACTGTGGCCTTCTGCTTCCCAAAACCTTGAAGCGGGAAGAAAAAGGGAACATAGTTCTGGGCCAACCGGTTGTCCATCTCTGCCTTAATTTGTCTGGGCCTCGTTTTTGTTTATTCTGGAGAAATCTTAATTCAATCAGCCTACCAATACTATAGTTGAACATACAAGTGAGGCAGCCATTTCAATCACATCATAGATAGTTGTGGCTTCTTACTGGTTGGATATGAAATGAGTTCTGGGTTTTTGTCAAGATGATATGACGCCACTTAGCTGAATATGATTTTGTATTCTACATCACGAGTCCCCAACCCCTTGGCCGCAGACTGGTACCAGTCAATGGCCTGTCACAAACCAGGCAGTACAAGCGAATGAAGCTTCATCTGCGCATGTGCAGGATCTAGGTAGTGCACAAAACCATGCCTTCCCTGTCCATGGACATTTTTTTCCCAACAACAGAACTGATCCCTAGTACCCCAAAGTTTGGGGGTTCTACATGTCTGCCTTTGACAAGACATGAATAATGATGAGAACCAATGGTTGGAGTTGAAGAGTGGATGCCTCTTACCTGGTATTCTTCTAACTCTCCTTTCTTCATAGAGTGACTTGTGCATTGGCCCATTCTCCTGCTTGGAATTTCAGTGGCCAGAAGCCTCTTGTAACCCTTGGCAACCAGATATACCTCACTAATAAACACAGCACCATCTCTTTCAAGTTTATGGGGGCACAATAACTTGTGACACGGGAGCACTGATGATGTTACCTAATTTGGGTAATCAAACATCTGAAAGAAAACAACCAAGCTCAGAGTGCACCAAGAAGCCCTCATTTCAACCCTGAGCTACAAATATTTTCCTTTATCAGTACAATAACTTCTTTGATAAAGTTTCTGTAGACCAGGGACACACCACTGGACTTGACTTTCGACATTAGGCAGTTCAAACAGTCAAGATGTGAAAAAGAGGTAAGACTTTTGTGTGGTGAGGCTTCCATTTTGATTATTTTGATCTCATTGCAGACACCCCGAGGGGGGAATACAGTACAATGTGCTCTAAGAAGTGAAAATGCTAAGCCAAAACAGTGATGGAATATGAACAAAGATTACATTACATTTAAAAATGAACCTAATTGCAATTTAAATGGATTAAGTACTGCATAAATCCAAGATCCCTTTCACAGTTATTATTCTTAAACCAGGTACTTCCTGTACTACACCTGTGCATTTGGTTTTTCTTGCCTAAATGTAGAACCTTACATTTTTTTCACCATTGAATTTCATTTTATTAGATAGCGCCCAATAGTTCTTTCAAGTTGGACTTTACTCTTAGATAGATCTGACTCTGCTTAGCTTTTTAAGGTCAGCTAAAATCAGCTAAATGCTGCCATTAGAGGGATTATGCTGTGCTTTAATAAATTAAGAATAGTGTATCTCATGGAATTGAAATTACTTCTCAGTTTGAGTTCAGAATGATTGTTAACTTAATTTGCATTAAACATAATTCGCTTACTGAATGAATTCATTTTCTGGGTCCACGCCATGCACTGAATTATGAACTAATCAAACCAAGCACACTATTTTCTTTCATATTTTTCTTTATTTCAGTAATTCAAGAAAAAAAAAGATGCAGAGATTTTGGATATCAGCAGTCTGTAACTAAATCCTCACCTCAGCCTTTTGTTTATATTGTGCTACTTTAAGCAAGCTATTGTTCTTACTTCATTGAATTCATTGGGTATAATTACAGTGACCTGAAAAAGGGGTAAATCTGAAAGAGGTTCATAAGGATAAAAAATGTTTATGCTTATAACATTGCTTTATAAAGGAAAATTCAGGAGGAAAACTCAAAAGAGCTTTGCAGAAATGCATATTCTAATAAAATGTGTAAAAACTAACAGTATATGTGATTTTATTTAAAAAAGAAAATCCAATCTCCATTTTTTTTCACAGGAACGTGAAAGACTGCACATTAACTGGTATCCTTGGTATGAATGAAGGGCAAAAGTGTGTTTTTCAAAAATGTATTTGGCGTATGGCATATCATACATGGACTTTTGGTATAGCACCAATTACAGAGAAGATGAGAGAAGGCTGGCTCTGCTGGTATGGACATGTCCAGAGAACAGCACCTTCCACTGTTGCCAAGACTGCCTACTAACTAGAAGTCAATGGCCGGGGACCTCGCGGGCACCCAAAACTGAGAGGGCAAGACAGCATCAACAAAGGTATGCAAGCTGTGGGCCTACATCCTGAAGATGCAGTTGACTGTGCAAAGTGGCATTCAATGATCTGAAAAGCGGATCCTGCATCTGTGGGAATATGCTAGAACTGTGATGGCGAACCTATGGCACGCATGCCAGAGGTGGCACATATAGCCCTCTCTGTGGGTATGCGCGGCAGGCAGCTGGTCTTCATGGGCACTGGAGCACCAAAAAAGAACCTGAAAATGGCCCCCAAACAGCCCAAAAAATGGCCTGAAAGCACACCAAAAACAGCCAAAAAACAGCCAAAAATCGGCCAAAAAAACCAACCTGAAAATGGCCTGAAAAATGGCCTCCAAAATGCCCCCAAAACAACTTACTTTGCTCGCGTGCGCCTCCACTATGCATGCACACAGCTTTCCACGCATGCTCTATGCTCGCGCATTACGTCCGGATGGGTGGGCGGAGCCTCCCGTAGTCACCATTACCGGTTCGCCAAACCAGACAGAACCGGCTGAATCCCACCACTGGAAGTAGGGGAATCTATTGAATCTATTTTGACTCCTGTAGGCCGACCACGTGGACAAACGATCTGCATGTCTGTTGGTTTCTAGTAATAACTCATAACTTTTCCAAGGACACAAAATTGTCTTCCATTTCCCCCTCTTCCGCTTTCCCCTTTCCATTCTATCTTTATCAATTTATGAATGTGTAAATTGTCACATGTGACTGAATAATGCATTATTTATTCCTCTAGACTAAAAAAAAAAAACCCTCCTAATGAAAACTTTAAATTTAAAAGGCATTATATTGGAACAAATGAAGTTTTGTGAGAATTCCTGGCTTGAAGTCAGTCAGAGATATTGCAAAGGTCAAAGAATTGAGGCCAAATTTCTGCTTCTAAATATCTGAGAGTGAAGGATAATTCTATCCACCAGATGAAGAGAGTTGGTCACCACAGATACCACACTCTGCAGCAGATAACTACAAAGAATTAAAAAGAAAAACAGCACTGCATGAAACTTGGAGTTTCCTGAATATCTCTTAGATAGCTAGTGCATACAGTATGTGGTATCCAGGCAGTGCGCAAAACCACATGTACACACACACACCGGTCCACGAAAAAACTACCCTCCATCGAACCAATCCCTGGTGCCCAAAAAGTTGGAGAGGGGGGCGCTGCTCCAAAGGATCCTTTTGTTTGTAAATGGGAACTATCCAGAGGTGGGTTCTATTTACCTTTACTACCGGTTCGCATTGCGCCCACGCTTCTGTGCATGCGCAGATCACCTATGATGACGTCCGGGTCAATGGGTGGAGCCTCCCGCCGGTTTTACTACCGGTTCTTGCGAACCGGTCCGAACAGGGGGCAACCCACCACTGGAATTATCCCAAGAAGCTTCTGAAATGTAAATTTCTATATTCTCTTCTAGAGAAAGGTAAATAAAAGGCAATGCAAATTATCCGTCTATCTATACTTGTCTGTCTGGATTTGTGAAAGTACAAAAATAGGTAGCAATGTTTTCCAAAAGGTAATGGCAAATAAAGAAGAACAAAATCTTTCAGAGGGGAACAGATGACTGGCTAAAAATAAAACTAGACATTTACACTGTTGTAAAGCATATGTTTTGTAATCTTTTTCAAAGAACAAGGGTTAATTTGTAGTATAAAAAATAAATAAAGAGCATTTTATTATTAACAAATATGGTATAAGTCTCATAGATCACAATCTATTTTATCAGAAGCATAGCAGAGGTGGGTTTCAGCAGGTTCTGACCAGTTCTGGAGAACCAGTAGTGGAAATTTTGAGTAGTTCGGAGAACCGGTATTAAAATTTTTTGACTGGCCCTGCCCCCATCTATTGTCTGCCTCCCACATCCCAGCTGATCAGGAGGAAATGGGGATTTTGCAGTAACCTTCCCCTGGATTGGAGAGGGAATGGAGATTTTACAGTATCCTTCCCCTGGAGTGGGGTGGGAATGGAGATTTTACAGTATCCTTCCCCTGCCACACCCACCATGCCACGCCCACAAGCCATGCCACACTTGGCGTTGAGGAACTGCTGTCCTCGGAGTCTTATTTGGTTGGGGGTGTTACTTGGAACCCTTACACCTGTATTTGTAACTTTGCAAAATGAAAAGCCCCGATTTTTCCTTCAGTGATGCAAGGCTAATTGTGTAAGCAGCATTTAGCTTAAGTAGATACGCAGATTTCCTTCCCTTTTCTCCTGAACAGACATAACAAGGCCGGAATGCAGTAAAAAGCAATAAATCGTTTTATGATTCTAACTGCTCTACCTTCATTGATTGACATTTCCCTGCCTTCAAAGTAATTCTTCTTCTAGGATCAATGTGTTTATTTTGGAATATAACTAAGTGCATAACTATGGGTGAAGTCTCCCTCACCCCTTAATAATCAATTATTAATAACACTTGGCTGGAAATTTCTCTTTGCTAGAAATACGTTCGTCATCTTTTTGAATCTTCTACGGATCTTTTTCTTCCTCTCTGGTTAGGTGGACGCAGCCTCCCAAAGCATGGTCCTTCTTTTTAACCCGATCTATTTAATGGCCTTCAGTCCATTCTGGAACACATGATTCTTCGGCAGCTGAAACTGCTTAAATCCAGCCTGCTAACCATCTTCCTCATCTCAGTCTCCCAAACTTCCGCTCCAAGTCTCTCTCTGCCAGATCTCAGCACATGTCCGCTGCCTCAGATCATGACGAAACAGTGAGCGTAAAATCCTTACCTATTTCAGTCCTAATATTTTTTCCAGATAAATTCAAAATACAGCTTGAGTCTATGCGACATCATGTGACAGAGGGAGAGTGCTTAGCTGCTTTTTTCAGTCACAATCCTTATCTGTGGGTATTGTTTTAATCTAAATGTCTTGCTCTTTCCATGTTGATTGAACCTCTGAAGAAATAAACTTCTCCAGATTTGTATTGGTTTGACTCCTCTGTTTATATTTCCTGAATTCTTTATCTACTTTTGGACATTTTCGCCCTGAGGTTGTTCCCTCCACGTTTAGGACATTTCTGCCATAGGCTGAACGTTGTTTGTTGGCATGTTTCACACAGCATCAGCTGTATTGTTTGCATACACCTCACCCTGTTTCCAAGGCATTTTGCCTGCTCCAAATTCCCTTCTTAGGACTGAGCTAGGCTTCTGATGATACTGCTGGTTTGTTTCCTTTCCAGAAACTTTTATCACAGCTGATGGCCAAATGCGAAGTACAATTGTTGTTATGCCTCATAACTTTCAGTTGCGAATCAGCAACTTCTGCTGCTTGGCATAGTTCAGCAGTGCTTCCAAAGGACAAATAATGTCTCAGAATGTCCCTGCACTATTTTGTTTCTTATGTCCAGAACAAGTTGATCTTCGATCAAAGATTCTGTGAACTTGCCAAAGTCACAAAACTCATTCTTTAGTTTCAGATCTGTTCAACATTCAGTTCTCCAATCTTCTTTTGTAGGTATGATCTGAAAGCAATCTTCTATACACTATATTTCTGAAGTATGCAAGAGGCTCACTTATCTGCACTAAGACCTTAAAATTATTTATTTATCCATTAATGTAAATGTGTTATACAAATCAGAGGCATCTTCTCTGATCTCTCTTAAAAGGTAAAGGTTCCCTTCGCACATATGTGCTAGTCGTTCCCGACTCTAGGGGGCGGTGCTCATCTCTGTTTCAAAGCCGAAGAGCCAGCGCTGTCCGAAGATGTCTCCGTGGTCATGTGGCCGGCATGACTAAATGCTAAAGGTGGTCCCTATTTTTTCTACTTGCATTTTTTACGTGCTTTCAAACTGCTAGGTTGGAAGAAGCTGGGACAAGTAATGGAGCTCATCCCGTTACGCAGCACTAGGGATATGAACCGCTGAACTGCTGACTTTTTGAACAACAAGCTCAGTGTCTTAGCCACTGAGCCACCACGTCCCTTCTGATCTCTCTTAGGATTTCTTGCAGGATCTAATCTGGGTCAGTCACCAGGGCCAGAGGTTTAGTCTTCTGAGCTATGATACCACACACAGAATAGCCCAAGGCATACACTCTGCTAGGGAGAAGTTCCCTGAGGATGGGTTCCAGCACGAGTCTGAAAGCTCGGAAGACTAAACCTCTGGTCCCAGTGACTGGCCCAGATTGGAGCCTGTGACATTTTGGTGGGAGACGTACATTGATCTTCGTGTGATATTTCTTCTTCATGGCAGTGGATTGCCCTCAACTACAATGGAAAGCTCTGTTGAAAATGTTGCCATTCATCTTCCATGTTGCCAGTAATCCTCTATTCTGATTAGTGAACTTAAAGCATCCTGATTTCTTTTTTTTCATTGAGGCCATTGCTACAGAGTAATACCAACAGTGCATTTTTGTTTATTGTTTGCACAATAATGTTACAATTGGCTTTCTAGCCTTGTGCCAAAATTCTAGGGTTTGTGCATTAATATTCAAGTTTTGAACATTTGACAAGGTAGCAAATATGTTGATAACAGTGAGGATTTTGTTTACTTGTTTATCTCTTTGTTTGCTAAATCTGGATATTAAGTTTGACTCAATTCTGACCTGGAACAATGAGGAACTTCTTTTATTGCAAGTAATATATCATTATACAGCATGATATGAGTAGGTTCAACTTTTGGTAAATTCCATCTTCCTCGAACAATACAAAAGATAATTTGAATTTCAGCCTTGTATTGACTTCAGAACTGGAGTGCTGCATATCTTTTATCATTGTTTTGTCTTAGATTCATTCTTAAAGCTAGGCTTGATTTATTAACTGCTAATAACAATTTAGCTCACCATCTCCATCTTCTGTCTAACTGTCAGATTTTCTGGAGAGAACATCTGACTCATGTATGAATTAATACATTATTATTATTTTTTTGCTATCTCCTGCTTTTAATTTTTTTGCCCGATAAAGCATTCTGGCGAAAGTAAAAGTTTGTTTACTTGTTCACTTGGAATTTTGGCTAACCTTTAAGATTTTGCTCAACTGTATGTTTTGGACTTTCTTCTGTCAGTGTGATTTTGGAGAATAGGAGACAGATGTGGAAAAGCATCTTCCCTTTCTGATGCCAGGCTCACCTGATTGTTATGTGCATCCCACCAAATTTTCATCCTGTCCCAATGTCACCCTGCTGTGCTACTGTGCTTGAATCTGTAGACCAGTGTTTCTCAGTCTCAATGGCTTTAAATTACTGTGTGGACTTCAATTCCCAGAATTTTGTGACTATGCTAGCTCACTCATCTCACTTCCTAAGTGGCTCTGAGCTGTTTACAAGTTAAAAAAAAAAACCCACCCATAAAATCCATACAAAAATAAACAAAATAAAAAGACAGAGCGAGCACCTTCAAGGCACCAGCCACCCCCAAGATTACATGCCATTCTTGGATCCCCATGCTAGGTGATAGAGCTAGCTGTTAATGTTCTTCTGGGATGCCAGAAGAGTGGGCATCAATCTCATCTCAGGGGGCAAGATGCTGAAGTTGAACTGAAGTCTTCCAATCTTAAACTTGAAATTGAGAATCACTATTGAAGAGTAAAATAACAAAACAATGTTAGTGGTTTCCTTCATAAATATATGCATCTTCTGAGCATTGAGGATGTAGAAGGATTGGGACCAAGAGTTGCACTGGACAGCTACTTGATAGCCTCTTGTTCTATAATTCCCAGCTCTTTTAATCACCTGAAAAAGCCACCCATCTCTTTGTAGCATGTACCTTTTTTCTTGTGAATCAGCCTTCAGGGTTCCAAGTAAACCCACAGCAAACAAAACTCAGAGGCAGGTAGATTCCTCAAAGAATAGTTTTATTTGATATGTCATATTGGCATAGGGTGATGAAAACCAGTTGAAAACCAACTCTGAAGGTTCCTGCGGTTTTCTCCAAATTAAAAGTAAAAGTTTTTCTGTCAACCCCAAACAATCAGTCACATGGTCTGTCACAAGGCACTGTCTGGTTGCCTGGTGACATCATTCCTCCTTCCTCTGGCCAAGTGTGAGAATGTCCTTGGTTCCCAAGAGAAAGTATTTTATTTTGGCTACAAAACCCCAGCTATCTCTAATGCCCCCTCCCTATCCCTCAGCTCCAGTGTGGCAACACTGAAGCTCCAAGATGGCTTCAGTCAGGTCAGCTTCAGGGTTGACACTTACCTTCTCTTATACTTACCTCATTATGATGCAGCATCAGTAGTGTAATCTCTGTGATGGAACACAAAACAGATATCCCCTTGAATAGTGAGGTATACATGCCTGGGAACTATCTCAAATATTTGACATGGACAGCAGGTGATCCAGCATCTCTTACAAGAGTTAGAGTGGAGCAAATGCTAACTGAGGTCAAAGAAATGGCGAAACACCCATCCCAACCTTTCTCCCAGGTCTACTTCCAGGGAATTTGAGGATGGACAAGTTATTGGCACTGCTTTCTATTTAAAAAAATCTGACTCACGCTAGTGAGGAATCTAATTGCAATCTAACTAAATTGCAACGTGCAAGAGCAACGTGCAAGCATCCGATCATAGGCTTGGTCAAGTGCATCCAATTCAACCAGCATTTTATCCAAGCAAGAGCTCTGGAATCCGTTCTTGGTACCCACAAAACATGATATCTATTGTTCCCCAAATTAAAAATGTCTCTTTGCGGATTCTCAAATAGATGGAAGACTACAGATCAACATGGGAAATAAGGGATATTGCTGTATCTCTGGAGAGGCACAGTCTTCCTGGAGGTATGGCCATTTTAGAAAAAAAAAAAAGACACTGGGCTTTTTAGATAAAGAAAATGAGGAAGGATGAGGGTTTGTTTTTTTTAAAAAAAATTCTAATGCTACAGCTAAGAAAGCAAAATAAAAATCCTGGAGTCATTTTTTTTACAAATTGGAATAAAATTAAAGGAGAAGAAACAACAATGTAGTCCTTGACATCACAAGTATTTCTTTATTAGCCAAATCTATTGAGAAAATACATTTTTATAAATGTTCAAACCAAATATACCCATTTCTTTACCTTTGGTACTGAGTGACTTGTGGCACCATTAGAGCTGGAGGACAGGAGGTTGGGGAATACCGATCCAAACTTAAATCAAAGTTGTCTTCTTGCCACCTAACCTTGGAAAAAGTTAATATTATAAATCTAACACACAAACAAACTTTTAGGCTCAGGGAGAGTCTTCATTTGGGACCCTGATCCATTTCCCCTCCCCCACTCCATCCTACAACATCTGACAAATTTTGTTCTTTTCCCCTCCATTTCTTCATTGAAATAAATGTATTGCAAATGAGAATATGGG